GTTAGTTTCCATTTGGCTTCCGTTTTTATTTTCCTTCCTTCTCTGAAAATTAGTCACGTCGTTTACGGTAGCCCTTCCGGCCCTAATGTCAGCTGAAATTTAGATTTCCTAAAGGTGCGCACGTAATAAATTCTCCCTCCCTTGGAAAGATCAAGATTACATAATCCACCGGATCCTCCTCGCGACAAGTTATTGTTGAGGCTGCAGGGGAATAAAATGCACGTATTCCATACAGAAAATCCCCCGAATACTCTGACCATATTAATGTAATTACTCCCAGTTTCGTTATATATTATCAGTTTTATGGTGGCTCTTTATGGTGACGTGGTCGAAAAAAAAATAATAATAAAGCAAGCGTGTGATGGTTGCTATCACGCCACCGATTCTCCACGACCCTCGCGTTTCCGTAAATACAAACAACGAGTTTATTCGGAGGTACAGAGAGGAATACAAGTGCCGCGGAATGATTCACGTCCGGCTTTTCGTACACACGGCGAAATGAGCATTATTCAAAATGGTGGTGACTCAAGCCAACAACAACAACACATCTGCCTCCAACAAGGAGTACGCGCTCTGAATTCATATGCCAAGAGTTTCAATTCAATTCGGTAAAAAGGGATATAAAAAAATAGACCAACAAAAGAAATGGTACAAACACACAATTTAATTATATTTTTTTTAAACTAAATATCCGTGTCGATGGGGGCAAACAAACGCAAAATACGGGATGAAATTGGTGGAGGTGAGGGTTGGTTTTTTTTTGAAAAAATAGCGCGCGTTGCGTTATTTATTGAAAATTAAATTTTTTGATGCGGGTCTGTCACTTGCACAGCTTGTTGTGTAATTGCGGCAAAGCGACTTTCAATTTGTCATAATGTTTAAAATTTTAACGTTTGATTTGTGTGTGTTCGGGGGAGGGGGCGACGGATTGCAATCAATGCTCCACCTCGCTCACTCTCTCTTCGATTTTTTGTTTGTTCCATTTATTTTCATATATGTATTTTTTTTTTGTTTTAATTCCGTTCGTTTAATTTGCAATTTCATTTATTTGCATATTATCAATATTGTTTTGTTTATAGGTCTCGGTTTACGAACTTTTATATTTGGGTTTAAAGAAAATTAGTTGAAAAAAATATTTTTTTGTAATCTTTATTTTATTCACAACCTGCAAATTAAAAAAAAATTAATTATAAGCAACCTTTTTTTAAAATTAATATTATTTTGTATATTAGCTTTACGAATTTTTGTGTTACAATTATTAATACTTATAAAACAAGGCATTAAGTAAAGAAGTTGAAAGATTATCAATTTTTTTTGTTTATAGGTCTCGGTTTACGAACTTTTTTTAAAAATTTTATGCGTATTCTTTTCATATTGTTTTTAAAGAAAAGTAGTTGAAAAAAATCATAATTATTTACATACAAGTTTTTTTATTAATTAATATTTTCAAAAACAAAAATTTTATAAAAATTTTAATAAATGTTATTTTGTAGATTCAATTTACAAATTTTTGTCTTACCAATTCACAATTGGTATTACTTATGAAACAAGGGATTTAAAGTAAAATAGATGAAAATTTGGTATACAAACAAGTTTACGAATTTCCTACTTACGAATTCTCGACTTACGAAAAAAATCCTAAAAACTCTAACTTGTTATATATATAGATAAAAAAATTAACTGTACAAACAAAAATTGATAATTTCTTTAATAAAATATAATATTTTTGGAAGATGTATTTTGTATGTTTTGTTGCATTTCTTTCTATTGTCGTTTTTTTATTAAATAATTGTGATGTCTACTTTGAAAAGTATTTATAAGTAAGTATTTTGTTTAATTTAATCTACTTTTACATATATAAAAGTAAAAAGCACTAAAACCATTAAAATTCCCTCGACCTACGAACAAATTCGACTTACGAACAACCCTTTGAAACGGAAATAGTTCGTAAGTCGGGGGATACCTGTATTACGTTTCGTTTATAGAAAATGAGTATTCATTTCACGAATTAACACCTTACAAAAGAATACTAATAATTCGGTATAAACATTAAATCAAAAAATAAAAGAAGATATCTGTCCAACAAAAATAAAAAGTTAGCCTCACGTTGTATAATTTCAGAATATTTTATAACGCAAGAAAGTTTTTCTTGGGATTATCAGATTATAACGTTTTACGCATAAAATATTCATTTTTCTTAGCTTCTATAAATACATACACAATCTTACATGTGTATGTGTATACAAAAAATTATACGCAATAAGGAAAAACATAATAAAAATTTATTCTAATTATTTATTTTCGTACAATTTATCATTACGTATTCAACAAGGTTTCATTTCTGTTGGTTTTTGTCCAATATTAAAGTAAGAAAAAAAAAGCGTGATATAATCGATATGATTAAATGAATCATCGATTTGGTTGACATTGGAAATACCGAGAAGTGGAAAATGGATGTGGTATTCTTTTTGGTTTTGTTAATGAATTCCTTCAGAAGGTTTAATTAGTTGTTAGAACAGGCCGGGAAACTCATTAGCTAATTAATTACGGAATTAAGGATGAAGTATGTGTGTACTGTTAGGATCCGCAGGGAACGTACTAGTTTCTTCTTTTTTTTTCGTCCAACTAATAAACTAGTTTGTTGCACTCCTAGAACGCAAGATTTAAATTCGTCGCTCAGATTCACAGTAAAATTTAATCGCGGATGACATTAATTAGTTTATAAATATTTCTATTGATAATTAAAATTGTTACAGAAGTATACATTTTATATAAGATAAGAATGTTTTAGATTTTGTTTAATGATATATATATATATAGCAGTGTTTCTCAACCTTTTTAGTTTTGTATTGTATTTCAACCCATTTCCATTAATCAGTACTTTGACAGCTGTCATTTTAATGTGACAGCTGTCATTTCTCGATCTAATTTATCGAATTTTGGGTAGCAAAAATATATTGTATATTGTACTTCTTATGAAAGTTAAACAACGTGTGCAGAGACTAGTATTTAAATGGGATCCTTTGTCAATTCGATGTTAATAGAAGATTCTTATAAATTTTGCTTAATTTTATGTGTAGCTGAAAACCAAACACATTTAATAACTTTTTATGAATGTATTTTAAGATTCCTTAAGAAAGTTCGTAGAGACTAGTAGTTGATTGGTTGATACTTTTGTAATTTGAGTTTAATTAATGGAACTGAAGTACTTCATTGTTGATGGTCAATTAGGAGACAGAAAAAAAAGACAGCTGTGTTAATGCTGATAATGCGATGTAAATAGATAATATGAGGTGAGTTTAATACTACGTATTGACGTTCTTGAATTCTAAATAACGTGATTTAAGATGTAATTAGTTGTTTGTAGTAAAAAGTGGTTTATTGGTCGCGAAATGAAGGTGTGCACTGTGTACGAGGAGATAGGGAACGAGATAGTTAGAGAGAGAGAGGTGTCCATTGTCCTTTGGATTACATGCGCTAAGTGGTCTAGCACAAAGGCGAGACGCGTCATCGTCCTTAATGATGTTGATCCTGGCCAGATACAGGGGATGACTTCGGCACGATCTACATAGTCATTGCTCGCTGCATGTATGTAGTATATACATATATATGTGTAGCAAAGCAGTCTTCGGAGAGGAGAGCGAATATGTTTTCATTTATTATTGCTGAGGCTTATTAAGGACTTGTAATTAAAAAGAAAAACCGGAGCCGGGGCCGAGCCTCGGCCCGCCGCCAACTTATTATATTGTCAGTTTGTATAAACATATTATTTATTATACGGCGGAATGTCAGATGGCGGCGGCGGCTGCAGAAGAGCGCGAGGAGGGTGAGACCCCTCTCTTCCTCTCGTATTCGTCCACCTCTTCATCCGCATCCTCTACTTCTTCGTCGCTCGTTGCTCCCCTTTTGCTCGCCGTCCTCTTCTCTCGCTCTCTTTTGAAAAAGCCCGGCTTTATTAAAAGTCATGAATACATTATTTTCGTACTCGGCGAGCACCGAAAGATAATTTACCGATCCCTATCACGGCCACTTTTATATTATAAATACTACTACACTCCTTTGGCTGAACCCAAACAAAACCATCAACTTAATCTCTTTCCCTCTTCAACTCTCGCATTCGTTCACTCATTTCTCTCTCTCTCTCTCTCTCTCCGCTGTATTTATTTATTTACACACAATTTTTAATTGTAATTTTCAACTCGTAAATCCTGAAATGGGCGTTCGAGGTGATGATCACGATGATGGCCCGAGATTACCGAACCTCTTTCTCTTACCTGAAATTTGTTTAGATTGCAATTTCCGATCAAATAATGAATAACGATCTCTTCACTTCCCACATACAGCTTCAATTTAAAAAAAACTTTTTTTTTGGACCAATATCATTAAAAATATTAGAATGTTTAATAAAATATAAATTCTATTTAAAAGTGGTTAATATTTTAGTTCAATTTCAATTATATTACAATTTTGATGTTTGATGATAATTCCAAAAAAATAAAGAATAAAAATGAATATATTTAAATTTGCAATTAATGTGTGATTCGCTTAGTAACTTATTGTGATGAATTATTTAAAAAAATTGTCTTACCATTTTTCATTAGTTACAGTTAATTTGATTGCCATTTTTGGTTTTTTTTTAATCAATTAATATTTGTAATCTGCTGAAAGTTATCCTGAAATTGTGGAGGAAAAAAGAATGAAAGAAAAGTATGTATGATTTTAAATATTTTCACATTTATTTTTATTATTCGTCTTTCAACTTGTAAAAAATATACACAAAATAATACAAAAATAATAATTAAACAGAAATAAATATATTCTATATACAAAAGGAAATGTACAAAAAGGAAATTATTTATTTATTTATATATATATATAATATATGCATTTCGTAATAATACATTGGAACTGAAGATTCTCTCTCTTTCGTCATTATACACGGCTTCTCATTTTTTTTATCTTTTAATTATTAAGTCTTCATTTTTCTTTGCTTACGAAGAAGTTAAGTATGTTTTTTTTTTATAATCAATATAGTTTATAGTAATTATTTATACATATCTAATCAGTCAAAAAATAGGTTTATCACACGAGGTAGGCCTGGCCGGCGGTTCCCCCAGATTGCATCATCATGTGCGGCTGCGGCCTCCATGGGGGACCGCGTCTTCCGGAGCCACCGCCTCCACCTCCACGTTCTAAGGTGCTGTAATCGGAATCTATGCTAGAGTAGATGTGATCGGACAGAGGCCGTGGCTCCTGCTGGTTCATCTGGACGCCAGGACCGGCGATCCTCCGCGCCGGACGAGGCGATGGAGTGGCCGTCGTCGCCGAAGAGTAATTGGCTTCATCACCGTCGTGTCCACCGAGGCTACCGACAGAGTATGCAGGTGGTGGGTAGAGCTGCGGCGATGGTGGCGCAGGTGCCTTGAATTTTTCTGGGTACGGGTGTGTTCCGTGTCCGTGGACGTGACCGTGCGTAGCACCGCCGTTCACCACGACCGAGCGCGTCTCCATTGTGTAATTGTTGATGTTCTTTCTGTAGTTGGCGTTGATCTTGCCGCGCGGCTCCACCGTGGGCATGGCGTACTTGAGTTTCTCCCAAAAGCGTTTCTCTCCCAAACGAATCCTGTGACTTGTTTTAAGATAGGGCCTGAGCTCAGGGTCCAACTCAGCTTCGGGCAACGGGCACTGTTCTATGATGATCAGCTTGAAGACGCGGCCTTTGAGCGCTTCGTGCAGCGCCTGTCGCAGCTCGAACCTAGACCATTCTGTCTGCAGGAAATTCCTGGTGAGAACGATGATGAGACGACGACTGGCTTCAGCGGCTTCGAGGACGGCAGGCGCAGCATGCTGCAGGTAAGCGGCGTGCGGCAGATCCCTGTAGTGCAGACACAGCTGGAATCCGGACTCGAGCTCGGTGGCCAAAGACTGCACGACCATCTCCTCGTCCTTCGGGCTGTAGCACACGAAACTGTCGTAGAGTTTGTCCCTGTCCTCGAACTGCTTGGCCGCCCGGAAACTGCACAACCTCACACCGTACCTAGAGTACAGCCACACGCGAACCGTATCGCGGAACACGAAGAACAAAACGAGCACGACGATCAGCAAGACGAGCACGCAGAGGGTGATCACGGCCATCGGCAGGTAATCGGAGACGAGCATGCTGTCGATGCTCGCGTAATAGTCACTGCAGGCCGTACTGTTGAAGTCCAGCTCGCGTCGCTGCGGCGGTTTCGAGTCCATGTTGTAGCACATAATGTCCGCACTATCAATCACTTTGGCCGCATTGTCCGCCACCCAGGACGTCAATTCCTGCAGGAATTTGCAGCGGCAGGACCACTGGTTGTTACCCAACGTCACCTCCGTCAAATGCGCGTTCGCGGACAGCTGCCAAACGGGATAAACGATCAGCTTGTTTCCATCCAGACGCAGAATCTCCAATGATCTGAGCGGAGTCAACGTTTGATTGCCAATGTAAGAAATTACGTTGTTCTGCAGATACAGCTCCTTCAGGTGCGCCAGGTGCTCGAACTCGTATCCCTTCAATTTTGCGATCCTGTTATCCTCCATGTGCAGAATTTCAAGCGCGTTCAACCCGTTGAACGTGCGATTCTGGATGCTCTCCACAGCGCTACCATTCACGTACAAAACTCTCATGTTCTTCCTCCCGATGAAAACGTGATTCTGCAGCTCCTTGAACTCGTTACCATCCAAATACACTTCCGTCGCGTCCATGGGAATGCGATGCGGGATCTCAATTGCGTTTTGCCCGGAGCAATCAACAACATTCGTATTCCAAGTCTGATCATGGTAGCAGCTGCAGTTATTCGGACAGGTCATCTCGCAGTCGCAAGCATCAAAATCGCAGCAATGGCAGAGTGCGAAGCAGTGAGTTTCGTAACGACAGAGGAAATCGCTCGATTTCGCCCTCGCCAAAGGCATGTGTGTCATCCCACGGGAATGCGTCATACGGCACATTACGTTGTCCAAGTCCATGACTTTCGGATATTGACGAGTTGCATTCATGCTGTTGATACGCTGCAGCCATTCCATTGTGCAATCGCAGTGGAAAGGATTTCCACCCAAGTAGATTTCTGGAAGAGTGCGGTTCTCCGGGACGTGAGCCAAACGCAGCGCGTTCAGATCCAAATTCACCAGGTCGTTAGAATACATATCGACACGCGTCAGGCTGCTCTTATCCAAAAACGTATTCGCTTTCACGGACTTGATGAAATTATTGTTAATGAATAAAAGCTCCACGCTGTTGGGGATGGAAAGTGCTGATATTTCGCTGATCCTGTTGTGGCTGGCATCCAAAGTCTTCACGTGAATATCATCTTGGATTTTATAGTAGTTAGCGAGATGCTCGATGAAATTACTGTGGATGTCCAACCATTTTAAATTTATCGGGATGAACGCGTAATCGAACCAAACCAAATGATTTCCGGAGAGATTAAGCCAAAGAAGACTCGCCAATGTCGCGAAAACTCCGTTTATATCAGTTAAATAATTTTCATCAAGTCTTATAGCCTCAATCTGAGGATTACGATCGAAAGTTCCGCGTTCAATGCCTTGCACTTTGTTCTTAGCCAAATTCAGCACTTGCAGACTGGGCAAATCCCAGAACATACCTTTCGTCAAATTGCCAATTTTGTTGTCGATCATTCGCAATCCCGTCAGCTGGTTGAGATTTCTGAAGGTGCCGTTCTTGAAGTTGGTGATCTGATTCTCTCCCAAATCGAGAGTTTTCAGGAAAGTCAGCTCTTGGATTGCATCGGGAACTTCCTCCAATTCGTTGGAGCTCAGATCGAGCTCTTTAAGCGCGGAGCAGTTATGGAACGCGCGCGAGTCGATGTTCACGATAAGGTTGTTGTTAAGTGTTAATTTACTAAGCACGAAGAGTCCGTTGAAGAGATGCGGAGCGATGGTGTTGAGACGATTCTCGGCCAGGTTCAGCGTGTGCAAGTTGTAAAGCGACAAGAAGGCGTTGTCCTCGATGAAACCGATGGAGTTGTTCCTCAAATTCAGGATTTGTAGGAAATAGATGTCTTTGAAGGTGCGCCCGTCGATGCGGGTGAGCGCGTTGTGAGACAAATTGAGAACGATCAATCGGATTAAACCGGTGAAGGTGCCGGCGTCGACGTGTCCGCTGGTCAATTGGTTACCAGAGAGGTCGAGCACCAGGAGTTGTTCGAGTCTGTGGAAGAGCCCCTTCGCCAGAGAGAAAAGCGAGTTGTTCTGCAGATGGAGTTCGCGCAATTCCCTCGAGCCAGAGAACATTCCCTGCGGCAGCATCTCGATCTTGTTGTTCGCCAAATTCAAGACGCGCAATGAAACAAGTCCGGTCAACGTTTCGCCGGAGATCTCGCCGATGTTGTTGTACTTCAGGTCCAATTGCTGCAGACGCCTCAGGCGAGAGAAGCCGGCGGTGTCGGAGAGAGATTGCAGGTCGTTGTAGGAGAGGTCGAGGATCTGCAGATCGCTGCTGGAGCAGATGGACATACGCGACTGACCGTCGCCGAACCCGAGGCGATCGGCGTTCCGGATTCTGTTCCTTGTCAGGTTCAGCGTTTGCAGATTGACCAGTGGGCAGAATACGCCTTCCGGTAAAGCCCTCATATTGTTGTCGCCCAAATTAAGCACTTGCAATTCTTTCAATCCAGTAAAACTTGAGCCGCTCATCTCCAAACTCTTTCCCATACGCCAATTGAAAGTGTTTATCGCGATCTTCTTCATATTAGTCAAACCGACGAACGCGTTAGGCTCAAGAGTTAACACTTTGCAATTCTCCACTCTCAAATCCTGCAGGTCGTGGAGTCGCTGGATTGCGGCCGTGGGTAAAGCGCTTTCGAAGAACAAGTCGTCGCTACACGAGATCCTAAGTCTTGAAGTGCCTTCCACTGGTAAAGTGCTAAGATTAGCGCTGCTACCGTCGAGAGTTCTGAGTTTACAAGACACCACCAGTCTGGAGACGCTCGTATCGTTGTTATCCGGTAGCCAAGAGCACTGCTCCGGCCCGTCGTATCGCGCCACAACCGAAGAGCAGAGCGCCAAAGCGCCCATCACTAGGAAGCGCCACATTTTTATATTTTTTAGTTTTTGCTTAACTTTTACACCGAAAAGCAAAATCAACGAAAACGTAAAACCGAAACAAACGAAAAAAAAATCCACTGAACTTTTCAAATTTCAAAACATTTATGGTCCGTATTAAATGCCGCACATCGTCGCTCTACTTCAAATCCGAAACCCTTATAATTTTTTCTCTTTAGTTTGTAAATGAAAAAAAAAAGGGGGAGCAAAGTCAACTTGGTGTTTTCTCAGTCACGACACATATTTCTCAGCTGCTCGAGTCCAGGTCTAAGCACGTAGTGACCATAACGACAGCCGACGCAACACTGAATCTTTCTACGAGCGCTACTGCGGTGTTATACAAGCCAGCGCAGCAACAACTTCTTGTGGTAGAAGCGCGCATGCCACGTGCAGACTTTCCAAGAGGACCGTCGACTTGCCGAGGGGCAGCACAGTACGGTCCCACACTAAGCTCGAACAAAAGGACACACCATAAATCAAACCATCCGGCCCTTTGCACGAAATGCACAATACTCGGTCAAGCGGTCATATTTTTAGGGAACATTTATACCAGAGACTTTGCAACTCCTCCAGTTTCAACACACCATAAAAAAAATATATGCAGATACCGAAAATAACACTTCTACATCATTAATTTTACATTACCAATCATAATACTCAAGTAGTCTTACACCTAGAAAACAATAAGCTAGACTATGTAGAATTAAACATAATTCCAAGTGCCTTAACACTCAATAATATATTACATTAAAATAAACATTTGCAATCATTAAATCTACATTACTAAACTAGATACTTAATTCTAACTTTCCAATCATTGATTTCTCATTATCGACCACACACATTTCAACAACAAACAATAAAAATAATTACTTCAACTCTGCAAAATAAATAAATGTAGAATTGTACACACTTTATACTGTTTGAAATCATAAATTCCACATTTCTAACGAAATGTAAATTTTAATTAAAAGTAAACAATACTCATCATGAATGTTTTACTTCCATGAAATAATACAGCGTTTCGCATCCAGATATTAAACTTTACGTAACCAGTTATTATTCATACGTAAATTGTTATTTTAACAATTCACAAACTAAAAGAGTATAACGTTATTAAAAAAACTATTTTTTTTAATATTAAACTCTGTAATATTATTTCCAATTATTTCTTTTGAAAAAAAAAAGAGAAAACGTAAAATTTTTAGAAGAACTTAAAATAATTGATAATAAATTCAATGTTATAAATTAATTATTATTTAAATTATTTTAAGCTAAAATTATTAAATATTTACATAATAATTTAAATGTAAAACAGTATTTTTTTTATAAAGTAAACAAAAATTGAATGAAATATTACTTTGTTAAAGAGTGAAAGCTGTTATAGTCAAAGTTCAAGTAACAACTTTGATAACTTCTAATTGCATTGATAAACATACAAGTCCTAATAAATCATATCGAAACTACTTGCTTTGATTAGAATTATCACGTTCTGATTTATTTACAAATTATATAATTCCATAATCCAATTTTTCATTAAATTCATATCATATTCAATTGTAAATAATAAATTTCTTAATAAGCTAGGAAAACACAATACACAATTCAGTGTTATTTATTTCAATAAAGTAATAATACATAATTTTAAATAAGTCAACGAAATTCAAGCCTCTGTAAGCCTTAGCTCTTTCGGCATAAAGAAGGTTACAATTTTTAAAAAAAGCGTTACATTTAAGGTAAATTTACAGATAAATATGAATTTACATAGTTTAAATATTGCAGATGAAAAGTTGTACATATGTTTAATTTGTAGGTGAGTTTTATATAAACTTTAATTGTGGGTTGTATGTGTGAATTTAGTTTATAATATCTTTTCCTGTATTATTAAAACAAGTACGTTTTGGAAAATCAATATTATTTCAGCCTAAATTGAATAAATTTTAGAAATTTGCGTGAATTTGTCTGTAATTAATATATTTTACAATTGATCATCAACAATTACATTTTTTTTCATCTTAACATGCTTTAAAACTTTTTTTTTTGATTAAATTATTTTCTTAATTTTCATTAAAATGTATAGGAATTTGGGTCTATATTGCAAGCCAGACAACCGAAAGACCGTCTATTGAAATCCCGACGTTCGAAATCCCGACTATATCAAAATCTCGACTACCATTGAAAAGTTATTGTAGAAATTTATAATAATAAAAGACACTGTCGGGATTTCGAACGTCGGGATTTCGGTTGTCGGGCTTACGATTGCCACCGTAGGAATTTATATAATTGAAATATAAATAATTTATTTTGTAATCAACTATTACATTTTTTCATATTATGATATGAAAACGCTTTTTTTTATATAAAAAGATAGAAAATAATTAAATATTATTTCAGATCAAATTATTTTGATGAGTTTTCTCAACGTGTCTCAAATATTTTTATTTATCAAAAATATGTCCATGTTATATTCCATCCTTTAACGTATTATAAGAACGTGTTTGGTATTAAAATTTCTTAAATATTATTTCAGCCCGAAAAACGAATTATTCCCGCGTCAAAATATTGTAATCTACGTGTCTCCTCTCTTCACCTCGGCATCATTTCGACCCAACAAAAGAAAGAAAAGAAAAAAAAAGAGAGTGTTATTCTTTTTTCTCAAAAATATTTTTAATTTCGCCTTTTGACAGCCCGAGATATTTCCGTAATTAGTATTCAGGGAAAAGCAGTCCATCAAAACAAGTGACCAGAGAGATGAGAAGAGAAGAAAAAATACCCTACTCAAAAATAAACGTCTGAAGGAAAAGAGTCTGAGCCGATGTGTGCGCGCATTGTTCAGGAGTAAATTAAAAACGAATCGTTTACCTGGTTTAATCCGTACACGTTTTTGCACGCAAGCCGATTATGCGTTTCGTAAAGTCTTCTTCGGTGATCGTAGAGGACGAAAAGCCAAAGCTGAAAGGGTTGCGCACTTGCGTACCTGGCTTAAAAGAACAACGGCCTTGGCTTATTCCAAACAATTTAGCGTGCGAAATAATCTTTTATCTGTTAAAACTTCTTTTTATCTTTCTGCAGACTTTTACTTTTTGGGGGATTTTGTTAGGGAATAACCGATAAAATCGTTGATGCTATTTCCCGGGACATAGGCAGCTGCACTCTATGCAAATTTGCATTGATTCACCCAGAGAACATTTCACAAAAATGTATATAATAATAAAGGAGTGTGCGTTGCGAAGAATACACATTATCAACGCAAATACCAGATAACAATTGTCAATATTTTGTTTTCTTTTTTCAATTATTATTTGCTTTTTAACAAGGATGTTACGATACGAAAATCCAATCGATTTCCTAAAAGAGAGAGAAAAATAGGGCTACTATAAATCAGCCCTTGATTAACTGCAGGAACGCTCGAGATTAGCGCACTAATTTGGTGGCGTAATTAATCAAAGTAATTGTTAAATTATACAAATTTAATTGCTGTTTATATAACGAATAAATGTAACTTAAAATTTGGTAAAAAAAAAATCACGAATTGTGTTGGAACATCGGTTTTATCTGGACGTTCGATGCACGCCCTTTCACCTTCCACTCCAACTCTTATCGTCAGAAGACAGATTACAAACAACGGAAAATCTTTGTTAACTTAACACCGTTGTTACGCAACGCTTTTTCAAAAGAAAAGGACCTCACGTGTGGCGATTTCACAGAACGCATCTTTTTGACTAATTCCCTTCGATTATTCTTCGCGACACGACACCGAAACATGTTAGCAAACATTTCCCTTTTTTTTATTCTTCTTCTAAAAAGAAAAATCAATTCCCATTTGTTTGCTGTGCGCGCAAGGACATTTCTTTGTCGTCGTTCAGTTACCTGAACCCTTAACGTTACATTTTTTTTTTCCGTCGATATTAATTTCGATTTTCTTGTTGATGATTTCAACGCTGGGCGGGAAGTTTACACATGCTTCGAAAATATTTTGGACCCTCCATATAATAATTAAGTAATAAAATTGATCGGTTTCCTCTGCGGTTCATTCTTCGGCAGGTAGGAAAGGATGGATGTTATTAAGGGATTAGGTCGAAATTTGGGGGTTGTGATGAGACCGCACTCAACCTCACCACACAAGTTTCTACCAGACGGTGGAGCAAGAAGCGAGAAATAATTTTCGTCCCGACGTAATTTAATTAAGAGAACTACCTTAATTCGATTATTCTTATTACAGTTATTGACCGACGTTGTTAAAGACATTCCGAGTATTTTCAATTACTACTGAGAACTTAAACTTTTACATTAAATATAGATGACATACTTATTACCAAATTTATAAATAATGTACCAATTTTATATTGAAACCAAGAAATATCTTCACTTAAACCCAAAGTTTCATATATTGACAATAAATTAATTAGTAATTAATTTATGACACCTCATATTTAAAATTATTACTAATGTTATTATTAATTTTACAATATTTAAAGACAGATTAGTACTTTATACATTAGCAAATCATTAAAAATTATATTTACAAGTTATAAAACTTACCTGTGAAATTGTAAAAGCTTCAAAAGTAACACTTAAGTATATATCATTATAACTATATTAAAACCTTTGACAGTTATAAAAGTTAAACAAATGGATAGGTGACTGGTACCGTTTATGAATTCTGGATGAAAGTAGACTATAATTTAGTAAATTTATTTTAACAAATTAATTTTTATGGAATTGGATTTAAATCACTTTTGGACTATTTAATATATGCAACTTCTTTTACATTAAAGCATCTTAGGACTTGACTTAAACTTTAAATCTTGAAGTATCAATACTTGAAGAAACTCTTGATATGTAAACTATGATAAATAATAATAAACTAGTAATATTATAAAAAAAAATAATGACCTTTAGTCCCATATAAAAATTTAAATAACTATAAAAATGAATCTTTATTAATTCAAAATTAATAGTACTTTATAGATTATCAAGTTATTAAAAATTATATTTACAAGTTATAAAAGTTAAACAAATGGATGAAAATAATAGTAGACTATAATTTAGTAAATTTATTTTAACAAATCAATTAGAAAACTGGAAATTACTTATGGGCAAACATATTTTTATGGAATTGGAAACTTTATTATTATTTTACTCAATTTATCATTATTACATAAGTATATTGGATTACTTAATGTATGCAACTTCTTTTACACTAAAGCATCTTAGAACTTGACTTAAAAATTAAATCTTAAAATATCAATAGTAAATGAAATTATAAAAAAAATAGTGACCATTTGTCCCGAATGAAGATGAATACAAAAATTTAAATAAAGAACCTTTA